GCCCTCGGGCGTCCCCCCCCTGCACAGGGAGCCCTCGGGCGTCTCCCCCCCCCCCAGCACAGGCGGTGTGGTGCCCGGCCTGCGGGTGCCCCGCCCCAGGGAGCCAGGGTCCCTGCGGCCCTTGCGCTCCTCACACCCCTGTCCTGCAGCTCTTCTTTCATCTGTCCCGGGAGCGCGTGTTCCCTGAGGACCGGGCCCGCTTTTACGGCGCTGAGATCGTGTCTGCCCTGGACTACTTGCACTCGGAGAAGAACGTGGTCTACCGCGACCTTAAGGTGCGTGGGCGGGAGTGGCCGGGGGCCGCAGAGCAGCAGGGCGGTCTGGTGCTGACCTGGAGGCTGCCCCCCACAGCTGGAGAACCTCATGCTGGACAAGGACGGACACATCAAGATCACAGACTTCGGCTTGTGCAAGGAGGGCATCAAGGACGGGGCCACCATGAAGACCTTCTGCGGGACGCCCGAGTACCTGGCCCCCGAGGTGCGCCCCTGCTGCGTCCCCTGGGCGGCCTGGGACCCCACGTCCCCCGGGCAGCCTACGACCCTGTGTCCCTGCGCCCCCAGGTGCTGGAGGACAATGACTACGGCCGGGCGGTGGACTGGTGGGGGCTGGGCGTGGTCATGTATGAGATGCTGTGCGGCCGGCTGCCCTTCTACAACCAGGACCACGAGAAGCTCTTCGAGCTAATCCTCATGGAGGAGCTCCGCTTCCCGCGCACGCTCAGCCCCGAGGCCAAGTCCCTGCTCTCGGGGCTGCTCAAGAAGGACCCCAAGCAGAGGTGAGCCACGCGATCCCCCAGTTTCCCGTCGGGACAGCAGGGCAGCTTCCAGGCCACACCGATGGCTGATGTGTGACGTCCTCAGCCAGGGCTCGCTGGGGCCTGATGGGCACCTTGACCCCGACCTTGTAGCCTCTCGCACCTGCTCAGGGGACCCCACCATGCTGGCAGCACCTTTCTCCCCAGTGTCCTACCTGTGCCGGGGCATGGCCCTTGGCATAGTGCTGTCCACAGCCCCCCAGAGGGGCTGCACCACCCCCACCACCCCAGGACTATGCGGTCACCCTCGCACTGTGCTTCCCCCACCCCCTGGGACCACGCTGTCCCCCCTGCACCATCCCCCCACGTGCTGAGACCCCGGCGGGAGGGAAGAGGGCCAGTAAGGGGCCTGTGGCCGAGTCAGGCAAGTGGCAGCAGCCGACGTGCCCCCACAGGCTTGGAGGGGGCTCAGAGGACGCCAAGGAGATCATGCAGCATCGCTTCTTCGCCAGCATCGTGTGGCAGGACGTGTATGAGAAGAAGGTGTGTGGGGGCCTGCTGCACACTCACCCGTGCACACCCATCCCTCTCCCTGCCCTCTGCCCGTACCTCTTCCCCCGGCTCACAGGGTCTGTACTGCGGGATTTCCTCCTGAGCTCTGCGGGGTCCTCCCTCATTCCAAGCCCCGGGAGGAGCTACGTAGGCATGGACTCCCCGAAGAGGGCGCCCTGTGCCCGACGCTGCCTGCTACAGGCTGGTGGTGGAGTGGGGCTGTTAGCCCCGCTGTCCCCTCCCTCCCTCCGACCTCCGTGCCTCCTGCTGCAGGGAGAGCCCAGGCCTGCTCTCCGCAAGCGTGCAGGGTCGGGGCACAGCACCTGCCCGTCTGGCGCAGGAGGGAGGCCTCCCAGGAGCGAGGCAGCTGCTGTGTGCACACATCCCCCTGCCCTTCGCCCTTGGGGGGACGTGGGAGCGGCCAGGCCCTGGCCCAGGCTGGCGGGGTGGCCCAGCAGGCTCAGGAAAGCTGTACCAGGCTGTGCTGGACACCCTGTCACCAGACAGACTTCCACCTGGTTTCCCGCCTACCCTCCCCATGCAGGCCCATTGCCGGCCACATGCTGCCGGCTGGGCCTCTGTCCTGCCTGCGTGACAGGCGCCCTTGCCCTGCCCAGCTCCTATCCGCTTCCCTGCCCGCCGACAGCCCAGCTGCCCAACCTTGACCGGAGGCCCTGCTAGCTCGTGAGGGGCAGCCCTGGAGTGCTGGGGGGCGGTGCTTGCCTGCAGGGCCCTGCTCACATGGACATATCCCATACAGTTGCCCTTGCATCCTCTGCAGCCTGACTCAGCTGGCTGCACTCTTGTCCTTGAGCCGCGAATGAGGCCAGCCAGGCCCTGCGCTCAGGACTTGTCCCTTCCCCGTTCTGCAGATAGGAAGGCCTGTTCTCCTCTCCTGGTGGGAGTTGGGCAGGGAGGGCCCTGGGAGCCCTGTGTGGGTTTGGGGCATGTAAGTTCACCTTGTACCCCAGGACTATCTGGGTGCTGCTGTGGGCCCCCAGAGCCACTGCATGGGAATACTACTTGCTGGCCCTGGTGGGTTTGGGACCGTCCCTTTATCATGAATATCAGAGTGGAAGCCCCTGGCAGCTGGGCTGAGTGGCTGTGGTCAGGAAGGCAGGCTGTGAGTGGCACCTAAGGATGGGGCTGGGAGTCCACCCTGTCCCATGGCATCCCTCTTCATCTCTTTCCTACTTCATAAGAGAACCAGAAAGAAAGTGAAGGCTAGAAAAGAGAATGGACTTGTCTTCTTCTTCCTGGGGCCCTGGGGCCCTGGGGCCCTGCAGAGCTGGTCAGCTGTGGGGGCCACCGCGAGCATGGCCTGGCCTGGCCTGCCCCTGGGGGAGAGGCATGTCTGCAGGGCTCCAGGCCGCCACCCTCCCCTGTGTGTCTCCCTGCTGGAGCCCCGTTCCGTGGCCTCAGTGTGGCCTGGAGACAGGAGGCATTTCCCTTGGCAGGGGGCAGGGGGGTGAGGGGGAGCTCGGACCCTGGGGGCAGTGCAGAGTGCAGCCTGTCACCTGCCTTCCCTCTGCCCTTGTCCCCCACAGCTCAGTCCGCCCTTCAAGCCCCAGGTCACGTCAGAGACAGACACCAGGTATTTTGACGAGGAATTCACGGCTCAGATGATCACCATCACGCCACCCGACCAAGGTGAGGGGTGGGCCACCTCCCCGCCAACCCCCAAGCCTGTTTCTTCCCTTCTCTCCTGAGGCCTGCAGTGTTCCCTTGCGGGAGGGTGGTGATGGGGGCAGGAGGGCACCGTGCCAGCCCTGGCAGTGAGAGGGCCTGGGAGGCGAGCCCTAGGGCCTGCCTCAGTCTCTGGATGCACGGGAGCTGTGCTCCCGGTGCTGGCGTCTGAGCGCACCTCCCGCCCGCCCGGCTGCAGGTGACAACATGGAGGGTGAGGACAGCGAGCGGAGGCCCCACTTCCCGCAGTTCTCCTACTCGGCCAGCGGCACGGCCTGAGGAAGGCCAGCTGGCCGCGCCGCACTCCTGACGGCGGCTTCAGGGGACGGGGAGGAAGCCTTGCGGGACGATTTGTATTTCATGTTTATCTCTGGATGCGTTTGGGAGCCATGTCACTCCTCCGAGCGGGGATGGGAAGACGTTTCGTGCTGTGGGCGGGGCGGCCCGCCTTGAAGGGGGCATCCTCCCTGCCAGCCGGGCCGGGAGCAGAGGTGTCCTGCGGGCTTTTTTAATTTATTTCATCTAGGTCTCCAGACATGGCCTTGGCCTTCAGAATGATTAGATTCACATAGGAAAAGGTCGAGGGCCTTATGCAGCCACGTGCAGTTGGGGGTCCGGGTGCGCCCTGCCTTGGCCCCTCCGTCCCTCCCGCCAGCTGTCTCGGCCCAGCCTGGGGGCACCAGCAGCAGCCTGGTTGTGGCACGCTGGCCTGGTCCCCTCCCTGGGGCAGGCCAGGCCGGGCTCGCCCGAGAGGCAGAGGAACGAGGTTGCAATCCGTTGCTGTGTATTACGCTATTCACATGCATTTTGGGGTTTTTTAATCATAGTGACAAGAAAGCCCCTCCCTCCCACCCTTTGGTCCCTTCCGGGGCGTCTCACTTCGATGGTGTCCCCAGGTAGCACTCGTCCTTTGGAGCAGCTTCACTGGCCCGCCATGCGCCCAGCGCCCTTTGGAGGGGCCTTCAGCGCCCCCTCCGCGCCTCGCGGCCGGACGCCATGCCGCACCGGGGCGCTTTTTACATTCAACTTTACTATTTTTACTATTATGAGACTTTCCCTCCAAATTCTTCAATAAACACTGCTTTTCAACTTTGTGGCTTGTTTTGGTGGGTGGCGGGCGAAAGCGTGTGGGCTGGCTGGCGTGTGTAGGGGGAACAGGATCAGCCTGCCCCCGAAAGAGGATGGCCCTCCCTGGCGGCGCGCACGGAGTGGGCAGGTGCCCAGGCTGTCCACATGCCCAGCCGGGTCACCCCCTCGCAGCCCAGGAGTTCTGGCGGAGGTCACACAGCAAGTCTGGGACTGCTGGGTAGAGGGGTGCAAGTGGCCCAGACGGGGACCCCGCCGCCTGGTGGGACGTGTGGCAGGCGCCACCTGGTGGATGCCCGGTGGCCGCTTGCTCAGCACAGAGGAGCCAGCTGCCCGGCAAGCACGGGCCGCGGAGGGAGCCTGGGAGCCTTGGCCTCATCTCTCCCATGCAGGTGTGGCTGGGATGCGGGGACATTTATAGGTCCTGGGGCATGCGCCTGGAGGTGGGGGTGGGGGCCCCTCCCTCTCCAGACCCCAAGGTGACTCCAGGTGGGGTGGCTGTCCCCTCCCGCTGGAGGGAGCGCCTGTGAGGAGTGCCAGGTTGGGGGCACATCCGGAGTAGGCCCCAGTCACAAGAGGACACAGCTCTTTTGGAACCACACACGCACACCAAACGTTACACATGAAAGAGGTAAGAGACGTCCAGATGTCACACGGATGAACATGGGCATCAAATCAGAACCCCGTGTGCTGTTGGCGCGAAGGTAAAACGGTGCAGCCGCTGAGAGCAAACAGTATGACAGTTCCTCGAGAAATCAGACACCCGATAACCCAGCAAGTCCACTTCTGGGTCTGTAGCCACAAGGGCTGAAAGCAGAGAGCCCGTCGCCGTGGTCACTGCAGCATGATTCACGGTGGCCAAACCGTGGATGGCACCCGAGTGTCCACAGTGGGTGAATGGATAAGCAAACCGAGGCCCGTCCATTCACAGGACTGTGACCCAGCCTTCAGAAAAGGACCTTCTGGCTCCCACTGCCACATGCATGGACCCTGAGGACATTATGCTGAGTGGCATTAGGATTCCATTTACACAAGGGCCCTGAGGAGTGAGACGCATGGGGAGAGAGAAAGTGGTGCCAGGGGCTGGCGAGTGAGATTAACGGGGAGTCGGATTTGCAAGATGAAGAGTTCCAGAGACGACGGTGGGCGGTGGTGAGCGTATTTAATGCCATCGAGCTGTACACCTGAAATGGTTAAGGCCTTTAAGTTTTATGTATACCTTGACACAGAAAAGAGCAAAGTCCACCAGAGAAAATACAGTGACACCCTTCCGTTGTCCTCAGACTTTGGGCAGACGGTGGCTGCGGTGGCAGGTGCGGGCGGAAACCGGGGAGGAGCCTGGGGCCCGTTGTCAGGCGGGCCCACCCCTTCCCACAGGTGATGGGGGATGCTTTCTGTCCCAGGAGAGGGGTCAAGGTCAAGGGCATGGACACAATAAAACCCCATCTCAAGTGGGGGGAGCTGAGGAAATGGGTGGGGGCTGTGGGGGGGGCGCAAAGGCAATGGGCACCTTGGACAGAAAACTCCCGGGGGCCATCCCCGCCCCCCCATCGCGGCAGGTGTGGGAAGGAGCTAACTTGGGGCTGCGGGCCTGCCTGGTGATGGGGGGTGTGCATGCCCTGCAGAGCTGGGGGTGTTAGGGGCTGGGCCTGCTGTCTAGAAGCTGCCAGCCAGGGACAGCTGCTCAGAGATGGAGCTTACCGTCCTTTGGGTTTTGTGTCTTTACACCTAAGGTGAACTTCTGTAGACGACAGAGGAGGGTCTCGCTCTTTTGCTGTCTGTCGGGACAATCCGACCAGCTCTGGCCTTTCCCGCCTTGACTGAGGCATCGGGTCTGTTCATACCGCAGGCGGCTGTGGGCAAGACTGAGCTTACGAACCCTCTTGCTGTTCTTCTGCGCCCCATTTGTTCTTTGTTCCTTCTTTCATCTTTCCTCGCCTGATTTTGGATTAAATGACTTTTTTCAAATATCATCTTCTCTCCTTGACTGGCTTGTTTTACCAGTTTTCCCACTGATGCTGCTTTCCACTGCAGGATCTGGCCACGATGCCGAGCTGCACGTAGGGCCCCAGCCCAGCGGCTCTGGGACGGACAGGGCATACCTTGTATTTCTCGTCTTCAAGCGTGGTTGGGGCCTCACAAGCAGGACCAGGACAGGGCACACTCCATTCCCACACTCTGCATCCACAAACGTCAAGACCCCTAAATGTGCTATAACTTCTGCTTTCAAGAGTCAACTGGCATTTTTTTTTAATATAGGTGCATGTGCGACTCTGCAGAATGATGCCACATGCCTTATTTTTATATATATTTTTAAGACTTTATCTGAGAGAGAGCGCGGGAGCGAGAGTGAGAGCGCACCAGTAAGGTGAAGGGCAGAGGGAGAAGCAGGCTCCCGGCTGAGCAGGGAGCCCGATGTGGGGCTCGATCCCAGGACCCTGGGATCATGACCTGAGCCGAAGGCAGACACTTAACCATCTGAGCCACCCAGGT